GCCGGCCCCGGGACCCCCGAGCCCCCCCACCAGCCCGGGCCCCAGCGCGCCCAGACCCGGGGCGCTCGGGAAGGAGCCAAGCGAAACTGGCCTGGGAATCTGGGCTGGGAACAACCCGAGGTGCCCGGCTACGCCCGAGCCGTGCTCCGGTCACGCGTGGGGGGATCTCGGCTCAGGCTCCGGCGGGTGCCGGGCTCTGGGACCGGCCGCGCTGCCTGGGGGCGGGTCCCCGGGAGTGGCGGGGTCTCCCCCGCGCCCCACGGCGGAGTTTGTAAACGCGCGGGGGGCGGCCCCCGCCCTGCCCCGCTGGGAGCCCCGAGGTGCCCGGGAGCCGCCGCTGCAGCCTGCGCCCCCGAGACGGGCTGGGAGGCGAACGGGGAGCCCGGGCGGGGAGGTCCGGCCTTTGTTCGCGGGCTCGCCAGCAGCGCCCGGTAACGAGCCTTCGCGGCTCCCTGGGGCTGGGCGGGGGGTGCCGGGCGCAGGGTGCATTGACACGGGGGGAGCCGAGTAAAGCCCCCCCGGAGCGGCCGGCCCCGGCCCTGGCCAATGTTTAACCCGGGCCGGAGCCGCTGGCAGGGCTGAAGTTCACCCGCCGCGGGGTGTTGGTGCCAAGCGCTGGGGCGGGGGGGGGGGGGGAGCTGGCCCTTCCTTTCCCAGGACCCAGCTCCTTGCTGGACACGGGCCTCTTCCTTCCCGGGGCTGGCGCGGGGCCAGGGGAAGGCGCCAGGGGCACGGGGAAGCGCGTGCACCGGCAGGAAGCCTGTTGACAAACACGTCGGTGGGGCAGCTGCAGGAGGCAGGATGTGGGGCTGGCCCTGGCCAGGCTGTGCGGAATCTGCCCCCCCTCCCCCAGTCCGCTCCAGGTGTGGGGCTGATGGGGGAGGCAGGTCCCAGCAGGTTTGGGACCCTCTGTCTGTGCCTTGGGGCAGGGCATAGGGAGGGTCACTACCCACACAGGCACATGATTGGGGGGTTCACCTGTCACGTGCCCCCCATGTATCCCCCTGGAGGCCCCCCCCCGTGGGAGGTGTCATCTGTGCAAAGAAACAAAGAACTGGCTGCAACTGGGGTCCAACCACTGCAGGCTCCGTCCCCCAGGACCTACCCCCAGAGCTGGTACTGCTGCCCGGCCAGACCTCTGCCCCCCTCACCTCCTTGGGCTGGCTCAGGGCACTGGGTGACCGGGCCACACTCCTGCATTCTTCGCCTTTCTGCCTGAGGTCCCCAATGCCCTCCCTGCCATGCGGGGGGCTGAGCTTTCCAAGGGGCCTGGTGCCACGCACTTGCCCTCGGCCTGGGTCAGCTGGTGCCCCCCTCCCAATGCAGATGGGAGGGAAGCTCCTGGCTCTGACGGGCTGGTGAGCAGGGGAGGCCCCGACTCCGCCAGTGGAATTACCAGTTGGAGAAGCGCCTGGTGGATGCCATCTTCCAAAACTCCCCGGCAGGGAGGGGCCAATGCCCCGTAATGCACCTGGCCCTCCCCCAGTGCTGGAGCTCTCCGCCTGGGCACTGGAGCCTTACACAGAGGGGCCTCCCCAGCTGTGTGGGGCAGGGGGGGCTCTTGGTCTTGAACCACTCAGCTGCCAGCCCCAGCTTGGCTCGGGGTGGGATATCGGCCGGCTCACTGGCCCCAGGAGTGGCTGGGGCAGAGAAGCTGCTACCCACCCCGCCCCAGCTGTTGTGCTGCTTGCTGCGGCCTGCCCCAGAGGTGACTGCAATTCTGGGGGTGTCTGAGGTACCTGGACTGCAGGGGGCTGGAGCAGGGTCAGGGGCTAGCTGGTTTGGGAGGTGGGAGCGGCTGGGGGCTCCCCTCCTCTGGTGGCCTCTCAGGGAGCAGAAGCCAGTTCCCCGGTGGTGTCGCCATGTCCAGGTGGCTGAGATGCCTGCAGCGGGAGGGGGCAGCGCCTGTTTGCCCGGATGGGGAGAGGAGCCCTAATTAGGTGATGAGATGGGGGAGCGGCATGGAGCGGAGACTGGCCGTCTGCCCTGGCTAATGGGGCAGCTGTGACAGCTGCTCACACTCCCGGGTCCCAGGGGAAGAGCAACAGGACACCAAGGGGGGGGGCAGTTACTCCCCTCCCTCCCCCGGGGGTCTCTCCCTCCTCCACAACCCCCAGCCCCCCAGGCAGCCTCTCCACTGAGCAAAGACAGTGAGTCTGTGAGGTCAAGGGGCAGGTTTGGGGTGGGCCCAGTGCCCACCCGGGCGAGAGATGGGCCTGCCTGGGGGACAGGGAGATCCCAGGGCAGCTCCTGGCCTGGCACCAGGGGAGGAGTGGGGCTTGGGGGTCTCGGCCCCATGCTGGGCACTGGAGGTTTTAACAGGTTATCGAACCAGGGCAGATTATTTTCCCATCTTTCTCACCTTGTAAAATGCCCCAGATGGTGTTTAGGGGAAGTGTGTGTGTGTGGGGGGGGGGAATATAGTGCTGGGAAATCAACCCCCAATCCAGTGGCTGCTCTGTTACCCCCACCCCCGCAATCTGCACTGGCCCCTCTGCGTCTGGGGCATTTGCCCCTTCCCTCCCCCCCCCGACATCTGCCCCCCATGGTGCAGGCTGGCTGGGAGCAGAGGGCTGCATTCTCACCCTGCATGCGTCTGACCACTCTGACCCCTGGGTGCTGACCACTGACCGCGCCTCCTCCTGGCCCCAGGTTCCTGGCAGACGACTACACCGTGGAGGTCCGGCTCAACGACTACCTGGACATCATCTGCCCGCACTACGAGGAGGGCAGCGTGACGCCCCACGCCATGGAGCGCTACACCCTCTACCTGGTGGAGTACGAGGAGTACGCGGCCTGCAAACCCCACTCCAAGGAGCAGATCCGCTGGGAGTGCAACAAGCCGTCCGCCCTGCACGGCCCCGAGCGGTTCTCGGAGAAGTTCCAGCGCTTCACACCCTTCACCCTGGGGAAGGAGTTCAAGGAGGGACACAGCTACTACTACATCTGTGAGTGCCCAGGGTGTGGGGCCTGGCTGAGGCTATGGAGGGGACACAGCGGCTGGGGGGTGTGGGGTCTGGCCGGGGTTATGGGTGGGCACACGGGCTGGGGGGTTTGGGGCCTGGCTGGGGCTATGGGTGGGTGCACTGGGGCTGGGGGGGTCGGGTGGGGCCTAGTCGGGGCTATGGTGGGGCACACAGGCGCTGGGGGGCCTGGCCAAGGCTGTGGTGGAGGATGGAGGCCAAGTAGGAGGGGGAGTGCACAGGTTTGTGGGAGGCGGGTAATGACGTGGGGGTGACATGGTTGCTAAGGTGTTGCGTGCCCCCTGCCCCCACAAGGGTCTGCTCTCTGGCCCCTGCTCTGATTGGCCCGGGAGAGACCCTGACTCCATGGGGCTCTCCCGGCAGCGGGAGAAACAGCCCCTGTGGGCGTGGAGAGTGCAGCTCTGACCCACCTGTCTCTTGTTTCCAGCGAAGCCAATTCACCACCATGGCGACGGCTGCCTGAAGCTGAAGGTGACTGTGGCTGGCAAAGCCAGTGAGTATCTCTGGGGTCTTGGTCCCTCCCTGCTGGGCACAGAGCCCTCCCAGCAGCCTGGCTGCACTGCCATGTCCTGCCCGCCCTCCAGGTGTCCAGGGAAGGGCACTGACCCTGGCTCCCCACAGCTCTGGGGGAGGGGCAGAGCCCTGCGCGGGTACAAAACGTGTATCCACATCCGATCTGCCAACCTGGTCAGTGGCTAGAGAGCGGCTCCCCGCGGATTTGCAGGGCTCTAGGCACGGGCTCTGCGGATAGCAGGGAACGGGACTGACTCAGGCTGCAGAGCAGAGGGGGGGTCAGGCCAGACCTGGGGCATGGGCTGCCCGCTGGGGCATGCGGTCGGTAACTGACCTCGGCGCTGCCCTTCACCTACTTGTCTCTGCGTTTGCTTTGCAGCTGGGACGCCGCCCGTCCACACCCCGATGCGGAAGGGGGGGATCCAGGCAGGTACGTGACTGGCTCTGACCAACAGACCCTAGTGGCCTGGTGTGGTCTCTGCCATATGAGGGGCTGTGGGGAGGGCGTTCCCCATGGAGCTGTGGGTCTGGCCATCTCAGTCCAGATTCCTGAGATCCCCTCACACTAGAGTACAGGCAAGAGCCTGCTCCAGGGCCTAGGTCTGAAATGCCAGGGCTGGGGGGCTGCAGCTGCAGGCCAGGCAGAAGGGATGTTGGCAGAGCCCTGCCCTGGAGCAATGTGGGATTGGGGCCCAGGACGAAGAGCAGCCACAAACTGGGGGAGGGAGGTGGCACAGCATGTGCCTGGCCAGGTCGCTGTGGCTGTTGGCTTGCGGCTCCCGCGTGACCCCAGCTGCTGGGTGTCAGCCACTGGCTGCGTCTCAGGCCCCGGACACCCATGTCCGAGAGCTCACGTGGCTCCTGCTTTCTCTCCTCTCGCAGACGACGCGGACGTGCAGGTCCTGAAGAGTGTGGGCCAGAACTCAGCGCTGCGGAGCAGCAGCCCGGTCACCTTGCTCAGCCTCCTGCTGCCCCTGCTGGTGCCGCAAGGCCTGTGAGGTGGGAGCCTGGCTGAGCGGCACGGACTGAACCGCTGGATGGCTACTGCTGCTGGGAACAGACCCTGTGGCCCAAGAGGTGCAGGCCCCCGGCTGGGCTGTTGCAAACACTCACGTGAGCAGCTCTCGCGTGTGCACCCCCAGCTGGGTCTCAGCCAGGCGTGCATTGGCAGCCTAAGGACTTGTTATGGGTCGAATGGCCCAAGTGGTCAGTATTACGGGTTGAACGACCCAAAGCCACCACAGCCCTGTGGGAGCGGTCGCTTCTCCTTACTGCCAAAGAACAGACCACCAGCACTTTCAACCACTCGCTTTGAGAGCGGACGACAGCGGCTGCGGCCCTGGCTGGATGGACAGAGGCACTGGACTAGGATGGGGTGGGGTGCTGGCACCTCTGGCTGGCTGAGCCAGCCCCCATGGAGTGCGCAGGATGGACAGGCCTTGCGGGGTGGTGGCGTGGAAGTGTCCTGCAGGCAGAGGCACCTGTGCTGCCCACGCAAACAGCTCATGGACGGGCTGTGGCGGTTGGGCTGAGTGCAACCCAGGGACTCTGGGTCTGCCAGGGCCGTGGTACCACCTTGCTGGGGCAGGACCTCCTGGAACAATATTCCTTCTGGTGCAGGACCCTGGAGTCAGTGATGTGGGTGCCGGGATTCCATACGGTGACACTTAGAAAATAATGTGTAGACATGTCTGGAGCAGGTGCCCCCTCCCCAAATTCTGACCTCCCATGTCAATTCTGCTGATTGCACATTGGCCAGGGGCCTGGGACTGTCTGGCCTGAAGCAGGGAGCTGGGCTGCAGGTTGACCCAAAGGAGACAAACGTCCTCACAAGCGCCTGAGGATGGACTGAGCTGGCAGCCCCAAACCCATGACATCCCATTCCCTCTACCCACCCCAGCCTCTTCAGAAACACCGAGAGCAAGAGTTCCTTTGGCACAAACTCCCAGCCCCATTCCTGTCTGCCTAGGCTCATTGCCACAATCTCTCTTCCTCCTCTCCTGGCCCCACCCAGGACTCCCTGTCCTCTGTGTAAAGCAGCCACCTGTGCTGGAAACAGGGTGGGGCAGAGGCTGAGCGTAGCTGCTGCCTGGCTGGAGTTCCCACCACCGGCAGGGCGCTAGACGCGCTGTACGACCCTGTCTCCACAGCCTGTGTGCGCCTCAGTGCCTGGAGGGGGCAGGGGGCTCGTTCACCCACACACCTGCCGGGCCCTGCACGGAGGAGTGTATATAACATGTCTTGATTTGTAAAGCTTCCTTTTTACCACTGGAATTTTTATACAAATGGTCTTGAATAAAGATGTTCGGATACAGCCAGACTACTACTGCTCATGCTGGGGGGTGGGGAGAAGGCGCCAACTGCACTCATCCAACAGCCCTGGCAGGGCAATACCGTAGCCCCTCTAGGACTCCCCCAACCTAGGGACGAGGAAGGCTCCAGCATCTCCTCCTCCTCCCCCCCCCCCCCCCCCCCCATGAAGGGGCAGTGCCTAGGCCCCAGCTCGATTCCCCCTAGCTAGAGCCACAGAGAAGGTGACAGGCAGAGAGAGCTACCCCTGATCCAACCTGCCCTGCCCAGGGCTGCCCTCTCCCATCAACCGGAGCCTCCTGTGGGTTCAAGACCCTGCCAGGGCAGCCTGTCCCCTTCCCAGCCTCTCCACTCCTGCGGAAATGGCTGGCCACGTGCGTTGGGCCTCTGGGGGGAGGTGGGTTGAGCAGGGGTCTCTTGGCTACCAGGCTGTTGTAATTAGTTAATTAACTGGCTAGGGTTTGCAGAGGGCTTTGGAGTGGAAACCTGTGCCTGACGCTATCAGTTATTTGGCTCTAGAGACACCTGCTCCCGAGCAGGGCAGCAGCGGGGGAGGAGGGGACGGGAGTGACTCTGAAGGGGTGGGCTGAGTTGGGCCATGAATGACCCTGATCGCTCACTGCGCCCCCACCGAGCTGTGCTGCGTTTCCAGCCTCTGCGACAAACATCGCTGGCAGCGAGGAACGAAAATCAAACCGAGACTCATCCAGGGCCACGCAGCGTCTCTCTGATTCCCGTTCCCCGGAGCGGCCTGGCCGAAGGCAGCCGTGCTCGGCTCCCCTCCCCTTCCCCAGCCTTGGGCTGGGCTGGCGACTCCTGCCCTGCCTTCAAACCCTGCTCCATGGGGCAGCTCTCAGGCCAACTCCACCGTTGTGTGCCAGAGCCAGGACTGTCCTGGGAGCACCTCAGCCATGAATGTATTTATCCCTCCCCCAGCTGTGCTGTTACCCCATTGCAGAGATGGGAACAGAGAGCGCCTGTGGCAGAGCAGGGACTGAACTCGGGTATCTGATACCCTAAGTGCTGGGCTATCTGTCCCCTCCAGGGTCCCTCCTAGCCAGGCGCTTGGATGGGTCCCACCTGACGCTGCACCATTATGCAA